AAAAAATAATTACAAACAAAAAAATAATAAACTAGACTTCAAAATTAAAGCTCATTGAAAGACACCATTAAAATGAATAGGCAAGCCACAGACTAGAGCAAGTATTTGCAATGTATATAAGGAAAAACTTCTATCCAGAATACATAGAGGATTCCTACTACTACAAGAAATAAAAAAAGGTCAAATAAACAATCTAACCTTACACTTAAAAGAACTATAAAAAGAACAGCAAAAAAAACAAACAAAAAAAAAAAACAAGCCCAAAGTAAATAGAAGGAAGGAAATAATAAAGATCAGAGCAGAAAAAAAACAGAGTCTAGAAACACTATTTAAAAGATTAATGAAACCAAGAGCTGGTTCTTTGAAAGGATAAACAAAATTGACAGACCTTTGGCCAGACTCATCAAGGAAAAAAGAGAGAGGACTCAAAGTCAGAAATGAAAGAGGAGAAATAACTACGGCCTCCACAGAAATACAAAGGGTCATATGAAAATACTATGAGCAATTACATGCCAACGAACTGTACAATCTGGAAGTAATGGACACTTCCTAGAAACATACAATCTCCCAAGACTGAGTCAAGAATAAACAAAATCTGAACCCACCGATTACCATCAATGAAATAGAATCAGTAATCAAAAACCTCCCAAAAAACAAAAGTCCTGGACCAGATGGCTTCATAGGCAAATTTTACCAAACATTCAAAGAAGAATTAACACCTATTCTTCTCAAAATATTCCAAAAAATCCAAAAGGGAAGGCTCCCTAACTCCTTTAAAGAGGCCACCATAACCTTGATTCCAAAACCAAAGACATTACACAAAAAGAAAACTATAGGCAGATATCTCTAATGAACACTGATGCAAAAATCCTCAACAAAATATTAGCAAATTGAATTCAGCAATTCATTAAGAATATCATACACGTGATCAAGTTGGATTTATCCCTGGGATGCAAGGTTGGTACAATATCCGCAAATCAATTAATGTGATATACCACATTAACAAATTGAAAGATAAAAACCATATGATCCTATCAACAGATGCAGAAAAAGCATTCAACAAAATCCAGCATCCATTTATGATAAAAATAGATGCAAAGTGGGAATAGAGGGAACATACTTCACCATAACAAAGGCCACATATGACAAACCTACAGCTAACATCATACTCAATGGAGAAAGGCTAAAAGCATTTTCCTTAAGATCAGGAACAAGACAAAGATGCCCACTTTCACCACTCCTCTTCAACGCTGTATTAGAAATCTTAGCCAGAGCAATAAGACAAGAAAGAGAAATAAAAAGGCATCTGAATTAGAAAGGAAGAAGTAAAACTCTTGTTATTTGCCGATACATGTATACTATATAGAGAGAACCCTAAAGATTCCACCAAAAAACTGTTAGAACTAATCAATGAATTCAGTAAAGTAGCGGGTTACACAATAAATATTCAGAAGTCAGGGGCATTTTTATACACCAATGATGAACTTTCAGAAAGAGAAATTAAGAAAACAATCCCATTTACAATTGTGTCAAAACTATAAAATACCTGGGAATCAAATTAACCAAGGAGTAAAAGACCTGTTCTCAGAAAATTATGTCATCGAAAAAAGAAATTGAAGAAGATACAAATAAATGGAAATATATACCGTGCTCACGGATAGGAAGAATCAACATCATTAAAATAGCCATCTTACCCAAAGCAATCTATAGATTCAATGCAATTCCTATCAAAATATCAATGGCATTTTTCAGAGAGCTAGAACGAATAATCTTAAAATTTATATGGAACCGTAAAAGACCCCGAATAGCCACGGCAATCTTGAGAAAAAAGAACAAAGTTGGAGATATCACACTACCTAATATCAAACTATACTACAAGGCTACAGTAATCAAAATAGCATGCTACTGGCATAAAAACAGATACATTGATCAATGGAACAGAAATAAATCCACACCTATACACTCATATAATATATGACAAAGGAGGTAAGAATATACAATGGAGTAAAGACAGTCTCTTCAATAAATGGTATTGAGAAAATTGGATACATGCAAAAAAAAAAAAAGAAACTGGAACACCTTCTTACACCATATACAAGAATAGACTCAAAATAGATTAAAGACTTAAATGTAAGACCCA